GTTAATGCTTTAGTATAAAATACCGTATTGTGGTTGAGCAATAAAATTTAGCAATAAATTTTATGCTGAATAATGACTTTGTTTGCTAATACCACATGAGAAACAGATATTTCGATAAATTATATACCGGTGAAAGAGCAAAGTAAGAAGTATAATATATTGTTATTGTTGCATTATTGATTATTTGTTCTCTATTAATTGATTATTTCATTTCTTACGAAAACATGTTCGATAAGCCAAAGACAGATGGAATTCAGGTGTAAGGTCAATGTCATTCATAATAAAGAAATTGGATCCAACTGAAAATAGGAAAAAGCAATATTGATTCATTCTGACTGTACAAACTGTTTAGGTTCTTCCATTTTATTCCCGCTTCCCGAGAACTCGTATGAAAAGCATAGCTTAATATAAGAGAAGTATCAGAGAAAAAAGAATATTTTATATTTCTATTTTCTTTTTATCCTTTTATTCATTTATGATAACTGTTTGTAGTAATTATTAGTGGCAGTCATCTTTGATTAAAAGAAGATAATATTAAAAGCGAAAAAAAAACGAAAACCAAAGGCTTTCAGTAGAGTTAAATGTTGTAAAATTTTCTAAGTAATATATTCTTAACTGAGAATTAATTGAAATTCTTTAAATTTAAAATTTCATCATTTTTATATATTCAAGGTTGATAAAATCAATTTCTTTTTTCGTCCTAATTGAAATAACAGTTGAAGAATTTCAACCAGTCGGAAAATTAATTAGGAGATGTCATGAAGATGCAATCAATATTTTCCGAGAAAAAATTGCAATCATTCAAATTGAAACTTATGTAAACAAAATGATATAGTTCTTGTACAGATAATTTCCTTTCTTTCGCATTTTTTTTTTCTTTTTTTAAATTTGCAATATCAAATTATTAAAAGCCCTAGTTATGATGAATCAGACGGTATTATATTATCAAATTTACAAGTCATATTTATCATCTGAACTTTCCGTTATTGTCGTTGTTGTTGATGTAATCGTTCCAGATATTCCCATTTTATTTTCCAACATAGCAACGTCTGCCTCCATTTCTGACTGCTCTGCAACTAACAATAAACCAATAATTTACCATTAATTCATTTAAGTAATTTTTTGAATCATTACATTCAAAATAGTAATCTATAAATTTGAAAAAAAAATTTTTACATCCAAAATTCCCGATTTATATAAATTGAAAAAATAACGAAAAAAAAAAGAGAGCTCATAATGTGTAACTCAATACTTCTTTATGTATTTTTTCATCGGTAATATAAAGTCTCACGCTTTAAAAGTTCAATTTCACGATATTGGCGACGTATTTTTGTTTTTAAGCTTGCATTTTCGTCACGTAATGATTCCAGTTCAGTAAGCGCCATCCGATATTGATGTTCCCATGTTTCTCCATAAACACCCTGTGATTTGTTAATATTTTCAAGATGATTGACCTGCAAAAATACAATTACCAATGTGATATTGTACAAAAAGGAAAACAAAAAACGAAATGTTGCAATCATATTTAAAAAATTTTTTTTCAAATCAGATAAAATTTTATCGTAAATCATTGATTGTATATATTCATAACTTATATGTAACATTTATCATCAAAAATTCTGGAATGCTTGATTGATTTTCAAAATTTTCTTCAAAAATAAATTTCAAAAAATATTTAATTTTTAATTTTTACTTGTGCCAAAACTCGATTAAGTTGTGATGTTTTGCTGGCAAGTTCATTTTGTAATTCTTCGATTGTTTGTTCTTCTTTGGTATATCGTTTTTTCATCTCATTTGCCCGTGATAAAGCATCCATTTTCAATCTCATTTTTCTTCTATAACAGAATGTATGGAACAAAAATTAGTGTAATATATGAAGGTGAAAAGTTGAATTATTAATTTTAAATTACCTTACCTTTCTTCTAGAATTTCCGTTTGTCCATCTTTTACCGCTTTTTCATACTTATCCCGTACATGTTCCAGTTCATTTTGAGTTCTCTTCAAGCGTAATTCATATTCATGATTTTTCCTTACTTCGTCCGACAACGATTGTTCCAATTCTTTTACCGAAATATCTAATGTACGAACTTTTTGGGATAGCATATCTCGTTCCTTAAATATTTCTAGGAAAAATTCTATGGAAATTAAGCAACAAATATCAAGAGTCATTGATCATCATCGAAATATTGGAAAGAATAGATTGAAAAGCTGTAATAACATTGATAATCTAAGAAGCACTTGAAGATTTATACATTTATTGATAAGAAAGGTTATTATTCATTTAGAACTACCGGAAATGTAATGGATGAGCAAACCGTTGCAAACAAGTTGAAGTATAGATAATGTGATGAAAAGATTACAAAAATTAATTAATAATTATATGTTGAAATTCGATATTTGAGAAGGATTTGAAAGGAGAATACTGTATGTAATATTAATAGTGAACTCTGAACTCACTTTCTCATTTTCTGCTAAGGTTGATTTATACACTTCAATTTCACGTTTCATCATTTGTGCATCGGTGTGCGCGGAAATAATTTGCCTTTCCAACTGCGAAATTTTTCGTTCGTTAGCAAATTGATTTTGTGACGAACTCCTGGAGAGATTGTATGGATCACCCTGAAAGCATTCAATTTTGACTATTATCTGCTGAATTTCATGAAGTAAAATATTAAAAACTTATTGATTTTCCAATTTAATCATTTTTAACATGATGAATTGAAATTATTGTATTCACTAAATAGAAGAAGAAAAAGAAAAAAAAAACGGAATGTACAGCTTACCGAATAATAACTTAATGAAAATGTGGAAGGACTTCGAAATCCGGAAGAGAATTTATTTTCTGGCTCAACTGTTCGTCTGCTCAATGTACGGATTGACCCGATGGATCCGATTGAGCTGGAAGAGTACTGTCGACTACCCAAACGACTTTGCCTACCACCGGATACTAAAATAAGAAAAATCCCAAAAATAATACACTTCATAAAGAACTATATTTAAAATAATTGAGAAATCATTTTAGAGCATTACTAGTAAGCGTCATTCTACTTTTTTAAAGCAATTGTTGATAAAATATCAAATTTGTTCCATTTATTAGCTAATGGTGCTAATTTAACTGCTTTTTAGAGTCATGTTGCATTATCGATAATTTCCGGTTAATCGTTTTCATGTATCACTTCTTGCTACATTTCCGGTAGAGAACATGCATCGATTTATTGAAAGAGGTTAAGAAACTGATTTGCTAAATTATCAGAATTTAATCTAATGAATTTATTACCATAATCTGATTCGACGGAAGATTCTCGTTCTTTTTCGGAATATTCAAGTTTCATTTTCTGCGTCTTATTTTCTGCTTCCAATCTGAAAATTTGCATCCAACTTGCTATCTTCTTATATATCAAAAAATTTAATTAACAATTCATATCATACTTTTGATAAGCTTTCTTTAATTCATCTAAACGATTCTGTAATTCGTCCTTCGATCGCTTATGAATCTTTTTCATTTCAGCTATATTTGTTTCCGATTCCTCAGTTATTTGATCCAGTTTCTTTTCCAATCTTCGAATTTCTTTATCTTTCTCACGACAACTTTCTTTCTAAAATTTTATCATGCAAATTTTAACGAATTCAAATTTATATTAAATTGTGTTTACCAATATGTTCGTAATTTTAGTACGTAAGAACTGATGAAAAAAAAGTATCATTCAATCGAAATAGTGGCATTAATATAAATGTTAAATGGCGTAGATTTATTTATTCTAATTTATTTGCTTATTTATGATAATAATTAATATTTAATTGATATTGTCTAATTAATATGACACGTACTAGCGTTTCCATTTTCATCATTGCTTTTTGTGCATTTTCTTTCAATTTTTCCAATTCAAGTTCTTGTTCAACTCGTTCGTTTTCCAATTTTTTCCTTGCTTTTTTCTCTGTTGCCATTAAACCATCAAAATTGTTATTTTTTTCCTGCAAACTTATCTTATCAACAAGATTTATCGTTATCGTTTACTATTGCCATTATCGTTATCACCAAAAAGACCATTAAAATTTCCCTATTCCTCATTTTAACTCATATCACCACTATATATCTCCATGATCCTTATGAACATCGCACATAACCTCAAAATAGTCAGGTTTTTATAAATATCGTTCGGAAGACTATCGTATTGTTCCTCACAGGTATGCATAGAAATCATAATGATAATAAATACCCACAGATTTGAACCCTTTCCTTACTAATGATCGCATGCAAACTATTCCAATTCACCATGCTACCTACTGAAGGGCATTTATTGTCATGCTATTAATTATATCAGTTGATAAAGTTATTGATTTGATTTTGGATAATTCAGTTCATTTGATCATCTAATTTTTTAGCATATCACAATGTTTTAAAGACTAAAAAAAATACATCTTATCGTTTTCGTTTTCTATGTTATCCACTTGTTTCTTGCAGTGAAATAAATAAATTCTTTGGATTAAATTTTCGGATGAAAAATAACTTCTGTTGTATCTAACAAATTATCATATCAATAGCTTATAATCTATTAATTTACCAGCATTTATCATTTGTTAGGAAAGATTTTATCAATTATATATATATATTTTTTTTTCTGATAAGGTAATTAAATACTACGAACATTTAGTTCCATAACAGATTGTCGCAAATCTGTAATTACATCTGCTTGTTGATTATTATGCTCTGTCAATTTTTTCACTTGTTCCTTTAACCTGAAATTTTCATTGTACAAAAATAAAATGCTTTTATTATTACTGAACTGGAAAACTGATTTAAACTTTTCCTTTTCGTTTCAATTTTTTTGTGATGCTTTTCTGATATTGATATCTTTTCTGGATTGACAAGAGATAGAGGCATATATCACTTTCGACATATCACTTCAAGCCATTTTTTATTTACAAAAAAAAACAGCACCGTAATATTGTACTTTATGTGTCTGCTTAAAATAAAATTTAGACAAATAAAAAAAAATGTTTGATTTTTTTTCTCTTTTTGTAATGCAAACAACAATTGTTAGAAACTTCAACAAACTAAATTTCAAATTTTTCAATTTAAAAATACACTAGTTTAAAATACTTATTTAAATTGTACTTTTACACATTACTTACGGGTCAGTTTTGTTTATTTTCGTAATAGAATTTTGCTATAAAATTGATTACTAGCACATATAGATAGTAAGTACCATTTAATTCATTTAATCTTAACTAGCTACTCTATCACGGCATTTTATTTATGGATATAGAAATTAGGCTAAAAAAATTTTTTCAGGCATACTCTTGCATTGTATTCGATTCTTTTTCTCGTTCCTTATCTGTTAATTCCATTTTTAATTCCATTTCTTTTTTTGCTCTTTCGCACATTTTCAAATCACTCTCGATTTTTCGTCGAAGTTCATATTCTCGTTCACAATTAAGTTTGCACTATAAACTATTCATCATTGATATTACATTTGTCAATTTTTCAAAGTACACTCTTTCCTTTTAATATTGAATCGTTTAAGAAAACTACTCATATTATTGTATTTTAATTCCGGAATTATGTCATAAATGTGTTTTCAAATAAAACACAAAAAAAATCGCTGTAAAATAATGATAATCTTTGAATCAGTCAATTATTCAGTGTTTTCATGTTAAACCAATTCATCATTAAATTTTGTTAATTTTGATTTGTACGAAAAAAATATGATTTTTTTTTTGTTTTATTTTATTGATTCCTTAAATTGTCAACAAAAAGTTTACTACAAAACAAAATTCTGATAAATACAGTTAAAGCTTATGTCAATTAATGCTTGATAATGAATGATATAATTTGTAACCTTATATTTCAGTTTGCTTTATGCGAATTTTTAAATTGAAAATAAATAAGACACTTTTTCCCCTTTGTTAAAATTGTATAGCAAAGAAAAAAAACTAAAATTTCAACAAAAAAAAGGAAGAAAAAAGTAGAATCCCTATATTATATCTTAATCGCTTAAATAATCAAACTAACTTTGCTAATTTAAACTAAACCTTTTGTTCCATTTTTTTGCTAATATCACTAAAAGATTATAAGTAAAATGACTAATCATTCATCATTACTACTAATACGGCAGTTATTTCCCTACCTTGTACAGCTGACTCTCGAGATTCTTTTTTTCGCTTTCAGTGTGTTCAATCTTCTTCTCATTCTCTTGCAGACAATTGTGTATTTTCTGCAAAACAAAAGTAAAATTATCAGATCTACAACTAAATAGCAAATTGTAAATTTTGCTTTTTTTAAATTTTTGCTTCGTCTAAAAAAAAGCTAAAAGATCGTTTTTATTTTTATATTCATATGAGCAATTGATATAAATGCGAATAAACTGAAAAAAATGAAAAGAAATTTGAAACTTTTTTCTGTGCAAATAATGATTATTGTTATTGAACGGTATGATATTTTTTCAATAGCTTTTATTATTTAATTCATTTTTCACTTTTCATTCATTATTACTTAAAAAAGAGTTAATTAATACTGTTTATGATATGACTTAGATAAATTTCACAATAGCAATTTGCGATCAATCAAATTCAAGGAATCAAATGTGATCCATTTTTATTAAAATCCTTATATGTTATTGACAGACCCATAGATTTGCAATAAAAAGAGAGAAATTAATTTTACAAATTTAATTTAAAATTTTGCCTTACCATAACTTTAGCATGTTGTTCATCAAATCTTTTCTCCATTATTTCCATAAGTTCTTCATGTCGCGTCAGTTCTTCCTTCATTTCAGCATTCCGCCAAATATGTGATTCCTTTTCATCTTCAAGCTAAAAATGAAAAACAAAATCAACTTTAATCATTTGAAATTTCAATTTATTTTCAGTTTGCGGCACTGTAGAATATTTCATGCTACTTCCTGAAAGTTTTAAATATAAATAAATCTAATTTGAAAAATGAACAAACAGACAAACTAATTTATTTGAATCAAAAACATACACTTTTGATTTTGTTATTCGCTTCATCCAATAGTTTTTGAATCCCTTCATAATTCCTTTGCAAATTGCTCAATTCCTAAATTAAAATAAAATTGTCCATCATTAAATTAATACAATTATAATAGAATTATAATTAATTAATACAATTATAACATCGATATTACCATAACATTATAGTTTTGAACTATAATATATCATTTTATTTCTCAAACGAATTATTAAACTTGAAAGCATCAATACGAATTTAATTTTTTAAAATTCATCAAATGAAATTAACACTAAGTTATTATTAATAAAATATGATATCAGTCATACCTTTGTCAGCTCATCGTTCGTTTTCAACAATTCTTCCAATCTTGCTTTATCTTTATTCAATGGTATAAGTTCTTTTACTATCAATAGCAATCGATACCAATTCCATGTGGAAGTTTCAATAAAACATCGAATGTTTTTTTGAATGATTAAAATACTTTCTCTAAAAAATCAAATCATTTTGAACTATCAAATAAAAATTGAATTATTATTAATAGAGATGGAAACAATCATTTGGCAAATTTCAAAATATTTTCAAAAACAAACAAAAAAAGATAATGAAATGTATGAAGTACCTATTGCTAAATAATTGTTCATAACGTTGTTGTTCCAAATACCATCGTATTGCTGCTTGTATTCCAGAGATTAATGAATTCAAATAATTTTTGCGACGATTTTCTAGCTGAGAAATTTGTAATTTTTATTTTATGATTTTTTTTTCCTAATTTAATATCGAAAATTTAGAAATAAATGTTTAAGCTTTATTTTTTTTTTACTAAAACAAAACAAAAAAAAAAGGAAAAGAAAATATACTTCTGAAATTACACCAATTTTACAATAAACTTTTGTTTTTCCAATTTGTACACATGCTGGATCGAGATCAATAATATCACAAAAACGTTGAACAGCAATTCGTCCAAATCCAAGATCAATATTTGGTATCAAAATGCGATATCGTTCAACAAATTCATCAAATAGCATTCGATTAGGATATCCTTGACGACATATTCTAATACCTTCCAATACGCCATTACATCTGTAATTGTTACGTTTTAACAAAATTTCTGTAAATCAGATTACTTTATAAATACTCAATAATCATCGTTAAAATCATTAATCAGAGATTTTGATTAACATTATGATATTTCAACATTATCATTGAAATAGCTAATCAATTATGGTTTGAAAATGAATAGCTTAAAAATGATTCATTCGATCAATAATTCTACAGCTCTATAATAAATGTTATTTGATAGGTACCTTAATTGTTGAAGTAAAAGATGTGGATCAATAACACCTGGTAATCTTGTTTTATTTGGTGCTATGCAACGAATGAAATGCGCCATTGTTGATTTAAGTGTTTCTAGTAAATTTAACAATTGCTCCTGGAAATTTCATTGTATTTCTTCATAGCATATTATTGATTATTTCTTAGGATATCAATTTAAAAAAAATAATTATATTTCACTATTGTAATAAAGTTTACTATCTTACCTTATATAAATATGATACAGTATTTGATGACATCGACTGACGTTTGGATCGTGATTTTTCTTCTTCTACTGCAATTTTAAAAATCTACATGTTTATTCATGCTTTTAATATTAAAAAAATAAAA